AGGAAAGTAGGAGTTTCTGTTTTTCTTTGGAAGAAGCGGTCTCGGAGGAGAGGGGGTAGCATCTAAAAAAGGATCAGCCAAGGCATTCTACATGCAGAGTACCTGCGATATGTTGCATTATGATCCCTTGAAACAATAGGACGTATGACGGGGGCTTGGCTTAAAGCGCAGCCAGAGCTGATCCCCACTGACTGTAGCGGGTTCAAGATGAAATCATTGGTGGAGAAAGGCCGACATGGGTGCGTTCCAATCCACGCCGCGTCCCACGCCCTATCGTTTGCAGGGATCACGACTGTAGAACCTGAGCTTTAAAAACTGTTTTGGAAGAGTTTTGTCGAATTTACATTCTTCAGCTTGTTATTTGTGTTCAAAGTTCAGGATTGATTCGGGGCTACTCCAAGCGCTCGGTGTGTGAGCTTGATAAAGTAAATGAGTACCTGTTACAGCTTTCACTAGAAGCTGCTCAACTACAGCGAGAAGCTCGTGGTCCTGCACGGCCGTTCACTGCTTCAACAGGGGCAAATCTGTTCGTGCTGGAGCATGGGTAGGGTATTCAGAGTACTTTTAGTTTTAGTTTATCCCTGTAGTCATTTACACGAGACTAACTGCTACGAACTAGACTATTGTATTTCAGCAAAGAGGAACTTGCCGCGTTGAAGTGTCGTTTGGAGAGTCTTGGTGTCAAGCTCGAGGAGTTCCATGCTCATAGTGCTTCGGAAAACAAAGAAAACGTTATACATATTTGATATTAAGCGATCCTGTGGATTATGTTTTTAGTGATCTCGCGTGCCTGTTGATATCTTGATAAAGTTTGAAGATAAAAAGTTCTGAAGTTATTGATCACGTTCATGAGAAGAGTCACTCTACAGTAGCTCATAAATGCTGCTTTATCAAAGACATTTGATTATTAGTCGAGCTCATAGATACCGGGTCAAGGGATAGAACTGTATGGGCTAGCTGACATAATAACTAAAGAAAAAGGGACAAGAACCGTCAAAAGCGCCCTGAATAAGAATCTCCGTGCCCCAAGCAAGAGGCTTATGTAGATTCGCAGAGGGCAGTAGACTAGATAGAGGCATATACAGGGGGGGAAGACACTTTTCTTCCTTGACTTTCAAGGCGCTATAAGTTACACTTTATTGAATTCTGATCGGACATTTCTACCACCATATTCAAGAGCATATTGTAATACTATCATGATACTCCGCCACAGCCTTCTGGACGAGCGCCATCGAGAGATTCTGCCACGCGACGTGATTCGGTGCCTGAGTTTAGCGAGATCGTTGATTTCTCCGCCACTGTAGACCACCCTGTTGAGCTCCGCCCAAACCGGTAATTGAGGGGGTTTAGGTCAGGTGACACACTTATTCCGTCTTCTTCAGGTACTCAACGCCCTTCCATTCCAAGTAGGCGAGAGTTTTCCAACGCCCTTCGATTCCATGTGGTGGCACCCAATCCTGTAGCAGTACGAAAGTTTCCAAGAAGGTACACGGCGATGACATGACGGCAAGAATATTCTCCACGAGTTGGTCGATGCAATCGTCAGCGCTCACTTTCAGTCCGGAGTCCACGAAGAAAATATCGGTCTCACCATCCCAGGAACTTCCGGTCCATACTATCAACTCTGTTTCCTAGCGGTGAAGATGAATATCGCTGAACCGTAGCGACATTGTCGAGCTGCTTGATGTTGGAGGTTTCTCCATGTATATCTGGTAGTACTGTCTTCCAGGTAGCTATCCATGGGTACATAAGAAGTTTCGCAGCTGTTTGGAGGTGACATGAATTCCAAAGGTCTTCTCCAGTCAGGCTGCGACTGGAGATGACTTCATATTTTGGTGTACATGAAGGTGATGGCCAGCTCCTGCTTATCGAGGAACATCTTGGTATCTTCCGCCTGGTACGGCGTACGCCAAATCCTCCTGTCTGGCTTCGAAAACTTTGTCTGATATTGACTCGGTCGAAGTTCTTCTTTTTGCCCCCCCCCTCTCTGGGGGGGGGGGGGAAACAGTTCAAGCTTTCGCTTTTTGAATGCCTCGTGGGCCGGGACTTGGCGCGGGCGGTCAGCACGCTTTATATCATTCTACAAGTGACAGGACTTGTTTTTCACCAGTTGACGTCGCTTACCCGCTTCAACAACGTGTTTAAAGGCAAAACCCGCGACCAGAGACTGCGGGTAACGGAGCTCAACTGTGAACGACAGCTTATCGATTAGTTAAGAAAAGAAGCAGAAAAACAGTCCGAAATGCCCTGAATAGGACTACATGCTGACTCCAACTTGTACGTGCATCCAATGAGGAAAAGGCGTGTCTGTGCGAGTTTTCACTCGTCGTTATCATAAAGATATCAGCTCTTTTATCGTATCACCTCACTCTCACCATTCGGAATGGAGAGAGATAGCATAGTGGCTACTAGCTAGTAGCTAGCAGCCGGTGGGGGTCGGCATGGGCCTAAGGGGCGCCCATGGGCCTAATTGGTCAGCTTAAGCGGAATTCTTGCCGATTTTCACTTTTTGAAAGTAGCGCAGCCTCCAAAATCGCCTTCCGGATCGTCTGACACATTTGAAAGGTCATAGCCTTATTTTATCGCGGAAAGTGCCTTTAAAGAGAGCTGGTGGCATCCTGGCGCGGAACGGCTACATGGCTATCCATTGCCACTTATACTACAGTTGATATCGTTGCAATCAGTCGGGGCGGTTCCAGAGGCAGTGACTGGAGCCCATGACCCGCGGTGTTTACACCTCTGGCTGATGTATTCATAAATCGACCACTAATAACGTCGGGGCGGGGTCACTCCACGTCTCCTGGCACCGCCTCCGACTGATTGCGACGAATGATATCAGCTATACCTTCGCAAAGCAGTGTTTTAATGTTTGTAAGTAATCCAACACCATCCGATGCATAATTGAACAACTTCAACACACAAGACACAAGAATTTCGTGCTCAGTCTAAAATGATTGCAGCGGCTCCGAGTAGGGGAGAGGGTAAGAGAAAACGATGTGAAATGGTTCAAAACCTGCGCGAAATCTCTTGTTCTGCACCACGTTGGGCGGCTATGCGACTAACATACAATCATTCCGGACGAGTTTTATTGCTGCTAAGAGTATCGAAGGGATGGACGAAATCGAACGAGCCATGAGGCAACACAACTCGTACGCAAAGGCTGCGGCGTCGCAGGCCACGCCCACCACTGAGGCGATCAACGATAGAATCGCCAGAATCGTCACATACCGCCGGAAAGGCTTGGCGTAGAAAATAGCAGGAGTTCACCCGACAACAATGGAGCAAGAACTCTAGAAAAAGGAGGGAGCGGTAACACTGAGCTACTGGCTTATATTTACCTTGTAATCTTCGACAACCTAAATCGGTGTCGTCACTACAGCAATAAAAAAGCCAGTTTCCACTTCTGGAAACGGTTGAGGAGTAGAGTTTTTGAGATGAGCGGGATCATTGAGATCACAAGAGACGTTTTGGCCGCACTGTTAGGCACTGTTCACAGTCTGCGACCTTGACGAAACGGCGGTTCGGCGAAAAGCAATAAATACGTATTGATCGGAGAATCGCCAACCGCTCTGGAGAAACGCCGCCGCGGTTCGGCTAGATACTGGCGTATCGATTTCACTGTGTTCACGCCGCTTAGAGGAAAACGCTGGGAGGCGGTGATAGCGGGTTTTTGCGAATCAACTCCGGCCGCAACCAGGCACAAGTCGATACGTATCAAAATCATTTCGCGCAGAACCGCCCCCTTTCGCCGAACCTCCGATCGACACGTATCAAAAGTTTTTTGCTGAATCGTTTCTTTCGAGGTAAATGCAGGTCGCAAACTGTGAACAATGCCTTACATTCCGACCGCGCTGCAGAATAAGGTTAGCAAGACGCTTGCTATGCGGCTATTATCTCATAGCAGTCTCTGCGGACAGTTTCTCAGCGTATCTTGATGCCGTCTGACAGCAAGGCCATCACGGCTCCTATCCAAAGGAACATCTATAATCATGCTTTATTTACCGCCATCACGGAGCAAAATCTGGTAAAGAATCACCATGACGCAGAGATGAAAAAATAGCGGGGCTAATGTAGTTGGGGATGGCGCCAGTTGCGGAACTGCTGTGCATCACCTGCGACGTACCGCTCTAGACGAGATGCCAGAACGATGTCTCAAACTGTGGTTGTAAACCGGACGATCTGGCTGAACCGTTGAGGACACAGACCAGCGAATGAACGGGCGTGGCTCCCTACCCAACTACTTTAGCACCAAAACCACATTACGAAGAAATATTTACAAAAGGATTGTCGTCATCATTCCAACAACAAATTCAACTCTAACAACTTTACTCTGCAATCTGTAAAAGTAACGAATCCCGAGCTTGGTTCAACCAAGCGCTACCCACTAACAGGTAGGATCCCTGAGCGAGAAAATACATACAAAAACAAACGAAATCACATTATAGAAGGCGCCTTAGAGTAAAGACTCTAGCAAGTAAAAACTTAAAGAAAGGCATGAGGCAGTGTTCGAGTCTACCTTAATCGAATCAGCTATGATCAAGGGTTTAAATAAAGACACATTCCACGCCAATCATGTGGGCGGAGTCACTTCAGGTTGCGTTTCTCCGATTGGCTTCCTCTTTGCCATTTCGGAAGGATGGTTGAGAGGAATAGTGGTCAAAGTGACTAAACACGCACGACCATCCTGGAGTGTGCCTTTAATGATGAGGTGCTAGTGAAGAGGGTGAGGGTCAGGAGATCCTTGTTGCGGCGGCGTTGTCCTGGCACTTGCGCTACAGCCTAAATAATTTGACGCAAAAGTGCTACAATGAGCTCGCATTGATTAGCTGGGAGGTGCCGCAATTTTTGCATGTCGCCGCAAATGGGATCTCCTGACCAGCATCCGCTAGAGAGCAATGAGGAGCGATGAGCGATATTTTTGCACATTTTCTGCTTTCTTTTGTAAATTTATCGGTTAACATTGAACCCGTGGAATACTGAGATGAGCGGTGGTGCGTCGTGCGTAGAGACTATTGCATGAGATTTGAGGACTTTTCAAGAAGGTTAGATCCCCTCCAAGACGCATCATATCCAGTGCACGACCGACTTCTTCCTGAAAATTCCCAATTTTTTTGGCGATTTTTGGGAAAACCATATAACTTTTGACTCTTGTAGATGTTATACCGACCTGGATGCTGTGTAGACGTGGCGCTTTCACACCATCACGCAAAAATCGTACACTGCGTGGCACGACAACCGGTTCTTCGGGCACCTGTAACTGTTATACACTTTATCATTCTGTTGTTCATGGCTATGATAACACAACAGGAATACTGCATGCGCGCAAACACTGAAGACAAGACGAAGGTGGCATTGGACACTTCGGCCTGGTGGAAACCCCCTCAGACAGGTCCTACCGCGAAGGACTGGCAGCACAGGAGAACAAGTTCATTTGTGAAAGGTCCCGCTAAATGCATTGGCCGAAGCGCCTTTTACGACCCACAAGACCCTCAAGAGGGAATCCTGCCCTGTACCGGGGTGCATGAAGACGCAAGTGGACCTCAACGTGCCATAGCACAGATTATGTGGACGGACAGGACAATCGTAACTTGTCGCCGTTGCACGCGACGCATCATGCGGCGGTAATTGCAGATTTTCGATCCGCATCAATTTATTGATTAGAGCGAACAATTTGCATCGAGGATCTGCAGGAAGGCCAGTCTATCCTTCCAAATGATATTGACCTTGGTTGGACTTCAAGGATCACACGAGCCAACACAGAGGATGTAAGGGGTTTGCAGGACACTCATGCCGCTCGTTGGGCGTCACTGCGCCCAGCACGCGGCAATGTATACGAATTGTCTTGGTTACACGCCCGGATGTCGAACGGAGAAGGAAAGGCGCACGATAGCTGGCGCAACTGGAAGAAAATCCTTGCAAAAATTTTCTCTTCGCATCCCGGAAAGGAGTGTAAGAAAGTAAACGTAGCCAAACACAGTTCCTATGTAGGCATGACTGGCGCCCTTATGGGGAACATCCTATTTCTGATACTCCACGTTGGTCATATGGGCGGAGTCGGAACTGCATGGCAGTCGTTGCATCTTCCTAACTGGCACGCCTTCCTGATCACCGTTTTAAAAAAACCGCTCTGCATGTTCGCCACCTCCTACTGACGGCTTCCTCGTTCATCAAGATTGGCGTAGAAATTCCCATCCGTTCTCTTGAAAGCCCTTTTCGCATTTAAAACGTCACTCAGCACTGAGAATTTAGCAAGCCCATCTCTCCACCACTACCTGATACGTCCTTCTTGTTGAGGATTAGAAAGTAAGGGTACACTAATGAAGAAGGCAAGGCCTGACCCCGCCCGTATGGCCTGCGTGGACCGAGTTTTGATAGAAAGACGGCCGAATTTTTTGCCAAGTGAAAACGCTCGAAGTGGACTAGCATTGAAAAAATGAGCGATTTTCACCTGGTCTTCTTCTTCTTCAACAGCTCCAGGAATTGGTACCCCCTCCGGAGCTTGTTCACCGGTTACAAGTGGTGTGTGCATCAATGTATGAATAGTCATCCGTTCTGTGGGATCAGTTCGAAGTAGTAAACGGATCTCATCCTTCGCTGAAATATTAATCATAAGTCGATGAATTAGTGAATATTTCCGAGGCAACTACTCTGAAAGATGAGTAGATTAGATGAGATAGAACGATCAAAAAAGAGAATGAAGAGCGAACAGAGAAGAGAGTTTAGAATTGACCCTTTGAGAGTCGCTTCGTGTCGTACGCGCAGTGTTCCTGATTGGGATTCGAGCGTTTCACATCACCACCACACACAACACCAAAGCTGCGGATATACTGGGCGACCGGCTATCGAATGCAACAAAAGGCGAAAGGGTGAGATAGTGTGTACGTGCAGGAGACGGAGGATGTTAGAGAAAAATGGCAGCATAGCCTTTCTGCGAGTTTCTTCCTCCGTCTCCTCTGCGCCCATACTATCTCACATCGTCACGGTCACCAAGCATAAACGCAACCAAGGCTCGAAATCCATCAATCAGAGACAAACGCAGCGTATGGCGCGGGGCGGCGCCAGTGGGCGCGTTATGAAAAGGGTGGCTAGTGGGGAATTTACGTCACAGTGGATTGTGCGCTTACTGGATTGAGACACGTGGTCCCATTCCTCCGGCGGAAATGCGTAGTATCCCTTCGAGATTCGATTTCGCATGCCCGGCGATAAGGCTAGACCCTTCATGCTGTAGAACGGCGGATAACCGCATAGTCTGTAAACCACCTTGCTGGTAGATAACATCTCGTCACATACTGTACCGTATCCGAAAAAAATTGTCTCTTCATCGAAGAAAAATATGTTTTTATAGTTTTCGTCGTTGATTTTACACTACACCATGTGTACGTTCATCATTTTTTTATTCCATATTCCATATACTGGAACTTGGAGGGGAGGGGGTGTTGCCCGGATACTTTATTTCGACTTCGACACGCCTTGAAGAAGAAAATTCGGCGAAGGTCGCATCCGTCCTCCGCCATGTTCAACTGAAATCCGCAGCCACGCCCTCTCCACCTTGGGAAAATAGAATGTGCATCTGAAAAATGGCTTGGAATTCCATCCTCTACAGCTGCACTGGTTTGGCTGCGAAAGGCACCACTCTCACTTGTTTAGTCAAACTATCGGATCCCTCCCTCTAAGAATAGGGGTATAGATAAGAAAATCGGGCTTTCAATAGTCCCTTTTTGGGGTGAGCCACGCATTAAACTTCTATTCGGAATCGTGTGACTCCTGAATGCGAATTTGCCCTTCCATACCCATGAGGTAGTACCACCATTTTAAAATTCAGCGCTTTTATCCTTCCAGTTGACACTGGCGTCAAACATCCAGCCGCGAATGGAAGGCCCACTTGACCCGAAGATGAGGCGATCCGAGATAGTACACCAGACAGTGCCGTTGATAAGCGGCGCCGCTTGCCACTACGCCGCCTAGCCTCGGGAGAAACACTTGGCCAG